TATTATTTATGACTGCAATAGATTACAATAATGTACTTCCTAAAAAAAAATAAATTCATATTACTCCGCTATCTTCCCATAATGGCCACCTCTGGACAACGGCCACTTTCTTCTGTCCCCGAGCGAGGTGGCTGTTTTGGAGAGGTTTGACGCCGAAACGTCGGCTTTTTACACTTATTTTTGTATGTTTTTGCTTTAGTAAATTGCTCTTGATCTTGTAGAAACTACGAGAAAACTCACCTGTTTTCAGCAAGACCTATATTGCTTATCTATCACGAATGTTCCTGATTAGATTACGTATTCAATAGAGACATTTAGAGTCACGTTTACAGTAAAATGCAAACGTGAATTTGTGCCACTTGACCAAGTTTTCCCTTGTTAACTTAATGTGCTTTACTGTGAATTACTTCTACCACAAAATTTGCAGTCTCACGTTAGTTTTGTCTATAACCATTGTTTTGGACTGTTTTTAGCAGCACATTTTCTATTTTTAGATAATCTCAACTTGAATCTGACGTTAACCGTTCGCCGTAAACATCACTATAGAAATCACGATGCAGGGTTATAATAAACGTTACGAGTCCTCAGCGTCTTCGTTCGCAAAATTTAAATCAATTTTCACGGCTTAGAAGGAGTAAAGATGATCAGTAACGTTTAGTTTATTGTTTGCTCTTTTTCTCTAGTCTTGCTTAGCTTGTGAGCTAAAAAAAACGTATATGTATATAAATATATAAAATACGTGTAACCACTGCTCGCCTCGACTAGCTAATTGCTAACTGCAGGCAGTGGATATTGCTTGTAAAATTTGAAATAAGTAATAAACAGTTGAACAGTTTATTGGCTCAGATACGCTGTAATCAGAATGATATGCTCGACTACAGGTCGAGCGCGGTTCTATAATCAAAGGTGATCATATGCAAATTCCCTCCAAGTTGGCGACGAATCTTTGAAAAGCTTCCGAGTTTGAAATTTCTTAGGATAGAAATTTCTTACGATTGCGTTCTCATTGAAGGATATCGAACTAGGACTAAAAGTCCTACGGAAAGCTTTCCTTTCATCATTAAGCTGCAATAAGCAGCTGGTTGAGAATAATTGCCGCTTGTTTGAGTCAAAAGACCGCATAGTTTTACGTACGGAACCAAGCTTTTCGCGGTGTAGCCAGTGACACTGATCTACTTGGTAACAGATCGATTGTAAGTGTGTCATGGTTAAGTGGTTAAGTTCTAAGAAGTAACACTCTGCCTAGCTATGACTGCAAGACCGGTTCTGGAACCACAATATTGGACCTTTTGTCAGTTGGTAAGGTATGGCTGTTAACAAGAGCTCACATACAGAGCTAGTTAATGAGGCATACGACAATTTTTCTCCGTCGAATCTCGCCTTCTCATGGAATATCAATATATTTCCGCTTTAACAAGCTCGCAGCCTAAAATTGACCTAGCTAAACTTAGGTCCCAGATCTCTCGCCGTGCTGATGTTTCATTCCCAGTTTTTGCTCGTCCGGTTTGGCATACCGGGCATGCCGATCTTGAAGCCAGTTGGGCTTAGCATGCTCGGCATGCCAGGTATGAAATTGGCATGCCCAGCATTACTGATTTTGATGTTCGCTCTAGCACTATATCGTGATATTTGTATATTAAAAAAAGCGCCAAATATATCTCAGGGGAGCTTGAAGTTACGGCTTTCATGTCTAGCAATAAATGTAGATTTCAACAAAAAAAGGTAAGTTTGTCATAATGTATGTCACGGGATCGACAGGCAAAACTGAAGATAGATAGAAGTTCTTGACCAAGCTGGATTTATTTAAAAAGCACAACATAGGAAAAAAAAAATAAACAACATTATTCGTGCCAAAAATGGAATACTTCACTTGCATTCAAAGATCAATAAATCCTTATATTTCAAACCGATAACATTTCTGGGTCCAGTTTTTAATTTGATCGCGGAAAAGCGTTTTAAACAATGAGACAACAAATCTTCTCAGTATAAACTTATCCATAAGCGTTAAGTTTTATCGCGTCGGAATGTTTTTCGGTCAACAGCATTAAAAGATTGGTGAAAATTAAGCTTACCAGGTCGGTCAAGTCAGTACGAGAGTATACGACGTTAATACTGCAAAGACGTTCTGATTTGGTGAGGTTGAACTGCCTTCTCGGATAAATTTTGCTTAGATTTTAAGTGCGCTTCTCGCAAAACTGTTTTGCTCCTTGCTAACGATAGTCCTTGCAGCAACGTCATCTGCTTCATCCGAAGATACTCCGAGCAGGCATAGATACAAGGCGAAATAGGCTGAATTTCCTCCGAAGTGTTTTCGGATCACGATGAATCTATTTTGTTGTAGCGTAGCAGTTGTGGCGTCAAGATGTCGTCATGTCTCTTCGCACTTGTTTGTCTTTTTTCTTTTTCTGTGGTGCAATGTTGAGATGTTGGTGAATGCTGGAAAAGAAATGGATTCTGCGAGAGACTGTGAGTACAAATTTAGTATTAATTTAGTAATGAGAAAGCCTGAATATGCGTAAATTATCCTTTTGGTAATCAGTTTATATTTTACTGTTGATCATACTTTGAACTTTCAGGCATAAGTGGTTATCAACTCGTTTACTTCGGATACATTAGCGACCTTTAGCAATGAAGACGAGAACGAGGACGAGGACTGGTATGACCGATTGGGGCCTGGAACGAAAACGTCGTCCACGGCGGTATTTCGGCGGGAAACAAAAACATTTAGCAAACCCGTTACGGTACGTGGACGAGTCTCTTCCTACAGTGAAAGTCACCAGGGAAAATGTCTTTCAAAGAATTTCGTGACCTCCTTGTACTTCTCTACGGCGATGAAATTATTTCCGATGAAGAGTTTTTGCTACTTTACGATAGTTTCATCTCAAAGAATCCAGATTTTCCCCATGAAAACTATGAACTGTTTGATTTGGGTTCTATGAACTCCGCGGAGTGCAAAGCAGAGTTTCGTGTCGAGAAACACGATCTCCCTTGCCTTGTTGCAGCCCTCCAACTACCACCGGTGTTTAAATGCGAGCAGAGGAGTATTTGCGACGACATGGAAGGCCTATGCATACTCCTCAAACGAGTTGCCTACCCATGCAGACTCAGTGATCTGATTCCGCGATTTGGAAGACCGGTTTCTGTTTTAAGCCTGATCTCAAATGATGTCATCGACTATATTTATGACGTTCATGGGCACCGTATAACACAATGGAATCGAGATCTTCTGAATCCTGGGGCTTTGCAGCGTTATCTAGAAGCTATATCGGGAAAAGGAGGCCCCCTTGACAACTGTTTCGGTTTTGTAGATGTAACAGTCCGACCCATCTCAAGACCAAATGAGCGTCAGAGAATTGTGTACAATGGCCACAAGAGGGTCCATGCATTAAAATTCCAATCCTTGTCCCTACCAAATGGACTTATTGGCAACCTATTTGGACCAGTTGGTGAGTTTGTAATAAAACGTTAGTGTTTTAAACTTAAATAACCCCCTCCCCCCCCCCCCGCAAAAAATTCTCTTCTCATGTTTGATTTTAATTTCGTTTCTAGAGGGGCGTAAACACGACGCAGGGATGTTAAATGATTCTGGACTACTGCGGGACCTTCAACAGTATGCCTATAATCCAGCAGCTCAAGCTATGTGCATTTATGGAGATTTAGCCTACCCTCTCCGAGTTCATCTCCAAACACCGTTCCGTCGTGTCCCACTTACACCCCTCATGCAGGATTACATCGAGGCTATGAGCGCTTTACGGATTTCTGTAGAATGGTTATTCGGGGACGTCATTAATTCTTTTAAATTTCTTGACTATAAAAAGAATTTGAAGATAGGCCTTAGCAGCGTCGGTAAAATGTATGTTGTCTGCGCACTTCTCCGTAACGCCATTACATGCCTTTATGGTAATAACACCAGTGATTATTTTGGTATTGAACCCCCTTCCCTGGAACAATACTTTCAATGAATTGTAGTTTAGCTGTACTGATTTTGATGATGTATTTTCTCCTTCCTGGATCATATTCAGTGTAATGGAATGTAAAATATAGACTGTTGGAAAGAAGGAATTATACTTCAAAAAAGCACCTTCAATGTACAGGAAGAAAATAAAAGAAAACGACACACATGCAAGTTTGATTTATGTGGTTGCTATGGAAATGCAAATGTCACAAAAAATTGATAATGGCACAAACGAATATTTCCAGATCAATTTGGTACCTATAGATCAATCCATCAAAAAGTTAAAATATCCATTCAAAGACCTTCCTCACCACCCCCCTTCACGCCCCCCGCTCTTCATAGCCTAGGCTTAAAAAAAATATATAAATAATTCCAGAGCCGGACACTCAGCAATAAGATGCTAATGTTTCAAGAGAGTACTGTAAAGGGTATGTGTATTTCATTCTTATTTCAATGTTTTGCTCAACCTATGCTTAAATGTAAGAAAATGGAGCACATCATAACACTAACGTTCTAAAATTTCAAAGGACAGCTTAATTTAACCCTTTCAATCCCAGTGTCTAAACATCAATGTACTACTTTCTTTCTCACGACGATGTTTAAGACCATGTTCTTAATTACTATGCCACCTATCAAGCAGCGATCACTCTTATGTGATGTTACTGCAAAGGTTTGCAGCATTTTATATCAGCCATGTGATAGTTAATTTGAAGTTTTAATTCATAACTTCTATATCCTTGTGAGTGAAAGGGTTTACTGAAGTTATCTTAGCTTCAACGATGTATCTTTGATCACTGTACACACTACACTAAGAAAATTCCTTTCTCCAGAGGTGTAAAAAACCCATCAACCTTTGAAGTCGAGGCGAAGAAAAACTAATCACCAAGCTGGACAGGCAAAGTCACCAGAAAAAAAAAAAGAGACAAAACTATAGTTGGAAAATAATCAGTTAAAAATTATGATAACAACAACATGGCTCTAAAGGGCTGAAAGGGCCAAAGGTTGACAATTTGATTTTCAACTTTTGTTTTGCCTTTGCCAGCTCTTATGAGGATTTAGGTATTACTTTTTCAAGTAAACTCATTAAAATTTGACTCTGTTGTTGTTGCTGCTGCATGAAAAGCATTTGAAAGTTCTGTAGCTGCTGTCCCTGCCTCTGCTGCTGTTCAGCCATCATCTTCATTACATCCTGGTACTGTTGCTGGTTCTGCCTCTGCTGATCTATCAGCATTTGATTCTGAGCTGCTTTATTTTCTTGCTCTTTTTTCTTCAATTCCATTTCCTCCTTCCCGAATTCCTTCTCATTCTCAAATTTTTCTTTTAGAATTTGCACAGCTTCAGTGGTACTTCTTATGCTTTTTGGTTTGATAACTTCATCACATGAATCAGCATTCCTCTTTTTTGTCTGGCCCAGGCGCTCCAAGGCCTTCAACCTACTTTCTTCGGCTGACGCCTTGTCGTTTTCATTCCTCTTGGTAAGAGTGTTAGTGTTTTCTTTCCTTTCTAAATCAGCTGCCTGTTCTTTTTCTATGATTTCACACAATGCCATCTCCAATTCTGTTTCCTCGTCACATTTCATGCCAGAACCCTGCTCTTCGTTTCTCACGTTTTCTTTGTACTTCCTCAGCAAAAGAGTGATCCTGTCCCCAACAGACCGCGTTCTTACAGTGAATTTGGGTACACTGAGCCCATTTAAGTTTTGTGCTATTTCTCCCCAGATTTCTCCTCTCTCTCTACTTTGCTTTGGGTGCTTGAATGGTTCCATGACAAGAACTTCTCTGCATAGCATGAGATCGTGCTCTTCTGACCACTTCATGGAATAATTTCTGAATATAAATAAAGTGCCAATAATTATATTTTTACAGTCAGTGTTAATACTGGTAAGCTTACAAACTTTTGATTCCATATTAATTGCCTAAAACGATTTCTGTGCAGCAGTAAAAATTATTTGTAAATAAACTTTTTTTCTCGAGGTGAAAATCAGTACAGCGTAAAACATGACTGTAGAACGATTTAAAAAAATCTTCATGTGCAAAAATCATTGACTACAACAACTTGGCTTTGAGAGGGCTTTTATACAGTGCCAATAATTATATTTTAACAGTCAGTGTTAATACTGGTAAGCTTACAAACTTTTGATTCCATATTAATTGCCTAAAACGATTTCTGTGCTGCAGTAAAAATTATTTGTAAATAAACTTTTTTTTCTCGAGGTGAAAATCAGTACAGCGTAAAACATGATTGTAGAACGATTTAAAACAAATCTCCATGTGCAAAAATTAACGACTACAACAACTTGGCTTTGAGAGGGCTTTTATATCAGCAAAAAAGTGAGGTAAGTTTATGCAGAGTTTAGCTATAAAGGTGGATTCTTACCTCAAATGTATTTACACGAATAGTTTAGACTTTCAAAGACGAACAAAACTTCATAAAAATCCCGACAGGATTTTTACAAAACTGTTATCAAATGCGGTTTAAATAATACAACTTACATTTATACAAACGCTTGAAACTTACCCTGATGTTCCTGCTGCATCCATCACTTCTTTGACCGAGTGCAGTTATACTAAGACTGTCAAATTTTTCCTGCAACATCGAAAAAAATCGGGGTTTTTTACTTCACAGCAACAGGAATAGCTTACGGCTTCTGTCTTATCTACTAAGAAAAACCTTGGGATTCAAGAAATTGCAAAATTAAGTCAGAAAATAGAAGAAAATAAGTCAAGCAATACTCACGCTCACCACAGGACGTCAAATGGCGGCAAATGGCGTCCTCAACGAGGTGTGGACGACGAGCTCGTGCTCGTTTGGGCATGCGTGGTAGCATCATGGTTCGTTTTCTAACTTCCGGTAGTTGACGTTCACGTGCTCGTAGTCACTGCTAAAGGTCCCTATTGTTTCTGTTTGTCCGTCCTCTAATCTTTTTCTGCTGTTAAGAAGACTACAGAAAACTTCAAAAGTATAGAAACCAACGCTAAAAAAAGGGGGGGGGGGGTTAGTGGGATATCAATATGCCCGTTATTTTGTCCCCAAGATACCAATATACCTCAAAATCGTAAAATCTGTGATACTAAATACCTAAAATTATTTTGAATCAGAATACTAAATACCTGAAAATGAACAAGTCAGATCTCAGACTGATATTTTAGTCGATAATAGTTAAATATTAGTATTAAAACTGTATAAACTGTATAAACTGAGATTCAAACCCAGCCAGCAAGGGAGACAAGAGCTCCCTGGGCTAATATTTCAGTCTATGATAGTTAAATTTTAGCATTAAAACTAGATAAACGGAGATTCCAACCCAGCAAGCAAGGGGCACAGTAGTTCCCTGGACTGATATTTCAGTCTATGAAAGTTAACTTTCTGTTTTAAATCTAGATTTACTGGGATTCCAACCCAGCAAGCAAGGGAGACAGGAGATCCCTGGACTGATATTTCAGTCTATCTTAGCTAAAACGTTCCATTAAAACTAGATAAACTGGGATTTCGACCCAGCAGGCAAGGGAGACAGGAGCTCCCTGGACTGATATCATGATAGTTACATTTTAGTATTAAATCTAGATTTACTTGGATTCCAACCCAGCAAGCAAAAGTGACAGGAGATCTCTGGACTGATATTTCAGTCTATCTTAGCTAAAACATTCCATTAAAACTAGATAAACTGGGATTTCAACCCAGCAAGCAAGGGAGACGTACAGCTCCCTGGACTGATATTATGATAGTTAAATTTTGGTATTAAATCTAGATTTACTGGGATTCCAACCCAGCAAGCAAGGGAGACAGGAGCTCCCTGGACTGATATTTCCGTCTATGTTAGCTAAAACATTATATTACAAAATAAACTGGGATTCAAACCCAGCAAGGAAAGGAGGCAGGAGCTTCCTGGAATGATAGTTCAGTCTATGATAACTTCAAGTTACTATTAAAAGTAAATAATTAAACTGGGATTCCAACCCAAGAAGCAAGGGAGACTGATTGATCAGTCTATGGTAGTAAAAATTATTATTAAAACTGGATGAAGTTAGTTTTGAACCAGGAAGTTAGTGATCCCTGGAGTAATATATCAATCTATAATTCATGTAGATGAAACTTACTTTTTTTTGCCCAAATTCTAGAAACAAATTGACTGAATTACTTTTTTACTTCAAATGATAATATTGGACTTTTGGAGCAGCAGCAATTCTTTCAATGAATTTTAAAAAAGTTAGGGGATAATAAAAACAAAGATGGCCTATTGCTGCCAATACGATGACCTCAAGCCAGGTGGAGGGTTTCGTGCGTTCCACAGGGTGCTTGTCTACTTATGCGGCGAGAGTGGTACTGAGCCATCAGTTACACCGAGGTCTGAGTGGTCGCCTCTGACCGAGAGGTGATGTATTGGGCGCCTGATAAGAAAACGGCCGTTGCACTCAAGTGCTTATCAACTCATTCTGCAGTGGTGCAGAGCTTTACGAGTGATACTGCACGGGCCGTAGCGTTGTACCGCACATCAGGTCATGCCATATCTCAGCTTCTGTCAGGAAACAAGTCTGTTGTAAGCGCTCATGCCCAGGTGTCACGGTCTGGATTCAAGCGGAGGTCACACATTTCGGTTCCCAGTTTCCTTTAAAGTTTGTTGTTGCTGTTTTTTTTTTTTAAAGTACAAAAATGGGGTTAATTTAGGTTCAATTTCGAAGTTTCTGGGAAAGAGTTGTTGCTCTGAGATAATTGTAACTGATTTTTAAGATAACAATCCACTTAGGTGAACTGGGATTCCAACCCAGGAAATATGGGAGACGGGTTCTCCCTTAACTATAACAGGAAAACTCTGACTTTTATATAAAGTGATAAATTACACACTTAATTCAAGTGGGAGTCCAACCCAGCAAATGAGGGAGACGGGTGCTCCCTGAACTATTGCAAATATACTCTAAGTAAAATATAGTTAGGTGAACTGAGATTTCAACCCAGGAAATATGGGAGGCAGACCTGTGCTCCGTGAGATATATTTAGGTCAACTGGGATTCCAACCCAGCAAATATGGGGAACAAGCGCTCCCTGAACTATTGGACTGATATCTCAGTCTATGATAGTTTAAACTTACTATTAAAACTGAATAAACTGGGATTCCAATCCAGCAAGCAAGCGAGACTGGAGCTCCCTGCACTTATATTTCAGTCTATGATAGTTGAATTTTAGTATTGAAACTATACAAACTAGGATTCAAACTCAGCAGGCGAGGGAGGCAAGATCTCCCTGGACTGATATTTCAGTCTATGATAGTTAAATTTTAGCGGAGCTCCGCGCGCGAAGCGCGCCTGCGGAGCACCATGGGTAAATAAATCTACCCATCCCAGAAAATTTGGTAATCACGTGACCGACCGACCGACCGACCGACCGACCGACCGTCCGTCTGCACCACAGGCATACCAATGTTTACTCTCACACTTTCTAGCTAGGTTGGGAGCCTAGGAGAAAGCTGACTGCACATCAATGTTGTCATCAATTGACAGCTGTCAAAACAGGGTATCCGCTGACCAGTATCACCTGACCGTATCGCGGGCTCAGGTGTCGACCCATCAAGGTCGACTGTTTTTTTGAAGTTATCCGCTGACAATTTACTCGTTTTCAAATGATCGCAGGCTCACGTTTACTTTTTTTAAAATTCACATCCATTATGTTGTGTTTATGTCAGTATCGTCCCGCACTATTAAGATTTTGATTTCAAACTGACCTCAGACGCAAAAATTCAGCCAGTTTTTTTAAAATACAGGCGGGGAAGACCTTTTCTTACCATGGTCACGTGTTGATCACGCTCCACGTCCAATTTTTATGCTCTGATTGGTTAAAATTTGACAGGTGAGTTCATGCATAAAATTTATGCAGCATCTTGAAAGTTGTTTACTTTGACAGCTGAAGCTGACAGAGTTTGAGTCAACTTGTGATGTTTTTAACTGTCTTTTTCCACTGGATGTACAAAATGAAATACAGCTGCTATCAAGAGAGTTCTCTTATTCATGGCTGGTTTGTTTGTTGGGTTTTTGGTCGAGAAATGCGTCGCTTGTCAAAGCCGCTAATCCGATTTCGAATGGCATCGTTTTTGTTTTTCACCTTGCTGGATGCGTACGAGAATTATAAAGGCTCAAGCGATCCTTGCCTTACTTGATAGCTTTCAGGAGCTGCATCTCGAATTATGGTAAGCCTGAGTAATTATTGTATTTAAATATAATTTCATGAAGTCCAGCGGCACAGTTTATGAAGCTAGTTTATGCACGTTTGTATTAAGATTTGACTGAGACACTGATCTGACCTAGTATGAGGTTTGATATAAGCTTAAGCTTACGGAACTTTAAAAAGCCTTTAGTCGATATTAATTCACCGTAAATAGAAAGAAAAGACTTTCCGAAAAATACTTAGTTATAATTTTGGCTGTAGAAAGAAAGCTTGGAGCGACTTTCTTGTCGTGAGTTCATCTTTGAAAACAGCAAACACCGAGAAACCGGCGGCTTAAAACATAAACTTCATCTTTAATCTTAGTAAAGACCGGAGGATTCTTAGAGACACTTAAATACTCATTTGTTTTCGTGAATGAAAATTGTTGTCTCTGTAAATGTTCTACCGAATTGTATTTCTTTATTGATTGTTGGTAGTCTCAAAAGTGTAATTTTCATCGCTTTTCCGTTTGTTTTCAGCCGTTCAAAAACATCGCTTGCAGGAGTACTCAAAATGCCGAGCGTATCAAACGCTTTTTAAGATTACACATCGTTATAAAACCATTAATAAAAAATAGACTCAATAAATTCTTTATCACGTTGAAGCGTAACTCTTTTAAAATTTCTTCGCAAATTTGGCGCTTGTCAAAAGTTAGAACCGGCTGGCCGTATAGATGATTTTGGAAATTTTTTGAACGGTTTCGCTAATTAAAAGTCCACGCTTGCTTCGATGGTCCTGAATATTGAATGAATTCAATTTGTCTTGAAAAATTGTGAAATACTGCATTTTGTACGAGGTCTGTATGATAAAAACAGCGCCTCGTGGTACTCTTTCTCCTCAGATGTGGTGTATAAAAAAAATAAATAAATAAAAGATTGGTTTGCACGCACCCAGATTTATTGGCAAGAATTTGTAAACTTGTCGAACGCAAAAAATTCGACCTGATTTATTTTCCAAGAATTTGTTTTCCACGCCTTATCTACTGTGATCAAGAGCCATTATTGCTCTTAAATGTGACCGAAGACTATTTTTTGGGTGTACATATAAGGCTATATCAACTCGATACAACATTTGTTTCACTCCAAAATCACTTAGCTTTTCCCTCAAAAGTCACATGAATGTGCCCTTAAGTTAACTGATTTGTGGAATACAAAATTGTTGTTTGATTTAAGTTATAAATTTATCAATGGGAGCTTCGCTTTTAGCCGTGGCTAAATCTATATATTAGTATTAAATCTAGATATATACACAGGGATTGAAACCCAGTATGCAAGGGAGACAGAAGCTCCCTGGACTGATATTTCAGTCTATGACAGTAAAATTTTGGTATTGAAACTATATATACTGGGATTCCAACCCAGCAAGGAAGGGAAACTAGAGCTCCCTGGACTTAGATTTCAGTCTCTGATAGTTAAATTTTAGCATTAAATCTAGATACACAGGGATTCAGACCCAGTAAGCAAGGGAGACAAGAACTCCCTCGACTTAGATTTCAGTCTATGATAGTTAAATTTTAGTATTAAATCTAAATACACAGGGATTCAAACCCAGTAAGCAAGGGAGACAAGAGCCCCCTGGACTGATATTTCAATCTATGATAGTTTAATTTTAGTATTAAAACTAGATAAACTGGGA